TTCTACTTAATTTCCGTCACTACTATTTTTGGAAAAAATCCAAAACTACCACTGTTAAAAAAAAATTACACAAATACCACTCATTCCCAACAATTTCCAAAAATAACACCGTTTATTAAAAACCGAGCCTCTAAGGGGCGGTTAATATATAAACCGCACCACCACGGTTTACTTTAGAAACGCCTTGTCAACAAGCGGTTTTCCTTTTCAGGTAAAACCGCTCTTCGAAGGCGCGGTTTTTATGGCTGCCCTACCACAAAACGCTTCCTTAGGGAGCGTTTATATGTCGCCTTGGTAAACCGCACCAAATGGCCGCGGTTTACCTTGTGGACACATAAACCGCTTTCCCCAGTAGTGGTTTGTGCCACGTAAACCGCTGCCCCCAGCTGCGGTTTTTGCCTGGTCACTCGACATACAACATGTCGCCATGCAGGGGGTGGGGCTGCATGGCAGACCAAAAAGCGCTCTCCCCGCCCCCCCCCCCCCCCCCCCCCCCCCCCCGCGGTTTGTACTGTAAAATTTGCCTATAAATTATTTAAGTTGTGCACCTTTAAATTACACACCTTTAAATTATTCTTCTTCAAATTTAAGTTGTGCACCTTTAAATTATTTAGTTTTTCCGATTAACGTTAATTCGTAAGTTTGTTTTGTATTACTTTTCATTGTCCTTTTGTGATTTTATGTTAGTAACTTAATTACAATTTTATTGCAGATGGCATTCCAAAGGTTCACGCTTGGGTTGCGGTGGAATGGTTACACGGAAGAGACCGAGAAGGGTGTAAGTTACGTGGGTGGCAATTTTTATAAAATGAAGGTCTGTACGAGACCGATGCTTGAAGAGCTCCATCAAATGTGCACTCAGATTACCTGCATGGATGGCACTAGAAGAGTTGATCAAATGGTGTATCGATATCCAAACAGACATGACGGGTCGCTCTGGAATGAGGAATTCCTCCTTTCCACTCAGGAGGACGTTGATGCCATGGTCCAATTTTTTACCAACAATAAAATTAAGCAAGCGGAGATGTTCGTTTACACCGAGGTCGTCGAAGGCGGTGTAGGTCATTCTAGAGATGACCAAACATCTGGTATCCACGATGAGAGTGTATTATACGAAGATCATCCCCACCAGGAGTACCAAGACTCGAGCTGGAGGCAGGAGTATCATGATGTAACTGGAGGTCATCATCAATCCTTCCCTTCATATGAAGAAGAAGCTCAATAGGCGGATGAGAACCAACAAGCAGGCTACCAGTACCCACCCGAGTATAACTTCTACCAAAGCGATGTTAGTTACCACAACTACCATTACGGAGCTGGTGAAGGTGCCTTTCATGATTATCATCAGATGGAAGATGAGGTCAATCCAAGTCCATTTAGTGACCCTGAGGTTGAAGAAGAGGAAGGCGATGTTAGTGCAGACAACTTCGATCCTCTGGAAGATCCTGATGATTTCGGTCCAGATTCAGACGCAGAAGGTGATGAGGTACCTCGCGACCGTGTACCTATCCCGTACTACAATCACATTCCAAATGAATATTGGTATGTTGATGCCGACATGGACCCGCTAGAGGTGCCAGTATGGGGTCCACACACTGGCTTTACGAAGGGCCAACAATTTGCAACGAAGAATGAGGTCCGACACGTTATTGCCACTGAAGCAATGACTCTGAGTTTTGAATGGCAAACAACCCATTCCGGCACGAAGAGGATGATGGTTAAATGCAAAAATCAAAATGAGGGATGCAAAGCTAGGGTCCGTGCCATCAACAGCAAGAGAGTCGGCCATTGGGTCATATCCCGTGCGGTGAACACACACATATATGTGTCATCAATAACATCCCAAAGCCATCGACAGTTGAAACCAAGGGTGGTTGTCACGGCTATCAAACATCTAAATGAGGAGCAGCCCAACCTGAAGGTGAAAACCATCATCGCCGACATTTCTAGTCGTTATGGTTATATCATTAACTAGAAGAAGACGTGGCATGGGAAACAGAAAGCAATAGCCGCCGTGTTTGGTGACTGGGAAGAATCATATGCATTCCTTCCCAAATTGATTTTGGCGTTGGAAGTGTCTAACCCTGGTACCATTTTCTCACCTCGCTACCAAGATGAAGAAATTCAGCTATCGGTGCCTGGTATCAAGCGCCATTTCAAGCGTCTTTTCTAGGTATTCAAGCCATTTATTGATGGTTTTCCATTCTGTGTTCCTGTGATTCAAGTTGATGGAACATTCCTTACCGCCAAGTACAATGGTACTCTACTGATCGCCAGCGGAGCATATGCAAATAGAGCAGTATATCCATTAGCCTTTGCCATTGTGGAGGGAGAGAATACTGATAGCTATGGATGGTTCTTCAGACAGATTCAATTCCATGTCACCAAGTGGACGAACATAACTATCATCTCAGATCGCCACGCCGGTATACGGGCTGCTATCTTAGGCTTAGATCCAGCCTGGAACTGATCACAGATATGGTGCATACGACATTTCAAGAGCAACTGGAATCATCAGTTCAAGCGAAAGAAGCTTGTTGATAGTCTATGGTGGATCGGTAAGCATTCTATTTAATTGTTATATATATTTTGTCAACTGGATAAAACGAGGACTAAATCAATACAATACAACAGCTATGGGGGGATCATGTTGATCGCTTAAGACCTCATTTCCTTAGACATGCATTTCTTTATAAAGAGTCTAAATAAGTGTTGTATTATATTCATTTAAATTATTGAAAATAATCAATACGATTAAAAATTAAGTAAATTATTGTACAAACAAATAAATTACTTTAACAAAATACAAATTACAAGTGATGATAAATAATATGTACCTTGTGGTCGTTCCAAACGTCTCTTGAACGATGATTGGCTTGATCGTATAAAATAGTCGGATCAATCGGTCCTTGATCAACATAATATCGTTGATTGTATATATCAACATCCGGCCCAACCTACGATAGCATAACAACAACATAAATCAATTAGTATATAAATTAAATGAATCATTATAACAACAACAAAAATTGGATAAAATGAGTACGTACCGCTTGATAATCATCATAGTAAATACCCTCTTCTTGGATAAAATCGCCCATTTTTTCAGAATCCGGACAGATATTCGATGGTTTTTTAGTGAAAACAAAAAAAAAAGTTTTTGGAAGGCAGATCGGACTTAGCCGCAACCAACAAAACAACTACTTCTAAGGTTTTTGGGTGGGGAGGGGGGTGGGTAGAGTGAGAAGTTAGAGAGAGAGAGGGGGAATGTAGGTTTGGTGGGCAGAAAATGAGAGGAGAGTGGGGTTTATATAGGGCCGAAATCGCGTGCTGGAGGGGCGGTTGGGTCTTTTTACCCCACGTAAAACCGCGCCTCCAGCACGCGGTTTACGTTCTCCAAACGCGCTAATCGTGCACGACGAGGATCGCTGCGCTGGCGGTCGTTTTGGCCGTCAGATCGCCTCCCAATCGCGCGGTTGCATGGGCCGCCACGTGGCGACGCATTTTGACAGATAAGAAGGGTCAAACCGCACATTTCACGCGCGGTTTGAGTGTCAACCACGCCTTCGAGGTGCATTTTGACTTATAACCGCGCCTTCGAGGCGCATTTTGTGTTGAAGGGTGGTATTTTTGGAAATTGTTGAGTATGGGTGGTATTTTTGTAATTTTTTTTTAACAGTGGTAGTTTTGGATTTTTTCGCTATTTTTAGTTCATTTAGAGATTGGTGTTTTTGTTGTCCTATGAGTCTATTCACTCTGTGGACCTAAGACTCGTGTGGCCTTTTCAAGCAGAATATCTATCTTAGGCCCATTAGTTTTAAGTATGTTGGGTGTCTTTTATTGGGCTTTCAGTCTTATGTCCACTTCCCTTTCCAGAAGAAGTACGATCAAAGAAAGGAATCAATTTCCCATTATTCCAATCGATAATCTTCTCTCCTCTCTTAGCTTGTCGAAAACCAAATCCCTAAATATTTCTCCCCTGTATCAGATTACATCATGTAATTCCTACGGTTACGAAGAAGACTCATGAATTCTTAATTTCTTATCGAAAGAATTTGTCTATATAAAAATCTTGGGAATTAGGCATTTCCACCTTCGTTGTTGGCACCAGACATGGTCTACATTGTGATACCCAATTAATTCAATCCCAGCTTATTTTGGTATTCCGAAGGCTAAAAAACTTAAAAGGTTAGTACGATCTTTAAGAACATTTATCGTAATATAAAATATCCTTCTTCATGGCTAATTAACTTGTACATGACCAAGGTTCGAACTCCAATGATAACATTTTCCCATTTTTTTGGTTCATTGTAGTAAATGTTCTTTCAAACCATTGGTCGATAGCTTTTTTTCTCTGAATGGATCCTCTGATTACATCGCCGGCGATCGAGCTGAACCCCTCAGATAGGCCGCCGGACTTTTGTCAACCGTTGTCGAGTGAAAGTGATGCGAGGCTGTCCTCTGGGAATATCTCCGTCACCGACCCATCAAACGCCGCAGTAGCAACGAACGTGACGGGAATGATGGTTGACCCTTCCCCGGTGGAGGTGGCTCCGCTCCATCAGACACCGGTAAGGCCGCTGTCATATGCCACCGTCGTGACAGGATCGAATCCAGAAAAGATGCAGGGTAAGGTGTCTTGGACCCCGGTCGGCGAGCACGACTTAATAACGGGGAGCTATAATGGGGAGCCGGAGTGAAAGATCTCTAGCGGGTTCAAGGACAAGCTCTGTGTTTCGTGGCAACGCACTCTGGTGGTCCGGGTGGTGGGGCTGAACATCTCCTTTCTCACGTTCAGTAACAAGATTAAAAACCTCTGGTGACCATCAGGAGCAATGGAGGTTATGGCACTTGGGCAAGAATGTTTCCTGATCAAGCTTAGCAACGATGCCGATTACTTCCGGGAGCTGACAGAGGGTCCCTGGGTAATTTTCGATCACTATTTGATTGTCTTCCAGTGGACACCCGATTTCAGACTCTCTTATGCAACTCCAAGATCCATGGTGGTGTGGATACAATTGTCGTCCTTCCCGGTACATTTTTATCACAAGGAGATCCTTTTCACGCTAGGGAATATGATTGGTCGTTCAATCAAACTAGACTTCCACACGCAACATCAACAACGCGCGAAGTTTGCCCGGATGGCGGTGGAGCTGGATCTTTCCAAGCCTTTAGTAACGCGAATCCGATTAGATGGGAAATGGAAATACATAGAGTATGAGAATCTGCCTGCAGTTTGTTTCGAATGCGGAAAAATTGGACACACGACGTCGTCTTGCCCGTCCCTGACGGCGAACATGCCAGCAGCCACCACCGGATCATTGACAAGGTTGCCGGAGGGCTGGCCGGAGACTTCGTCGGAGGATAAGACCGGATTTGGTCCCTGGATGCAGGTAACGAGACGGTCACGGCGCGGATCGCGGGCATCTGAGAAAGGAAATACTGGCGCGACGCAGGGAGACTTGACAAATTTTGGAAAAGCTGGAAAAGGAAAGATTTCGAACAGGAATATGGAAGGTTCTAACGGGCAGAAACAGTCTCCAAGCCAGCGGGAGGAGATGGTGCGGGGCGGATCGCATGAAAAAGGAAAGACAGCTGGGGCAGGGCAACTGATAGCATCGTATTTGCACGTGTTTTCACTCTGGTTTCCTGTCCATGTTGGCTCGAATTGATTGTTCCTTGGCCTATTTTACGCTAGGTTGTGTTGTTTTGTCGTATTTCAGGTCCTAGCAAGTAAAGAGGGGCAAAGGCGCAAGTTTCGGGTCATTTGGAGGTCAATTGGCGAGTCACAGAGAGAATTACGGGCAGCCCCTGCTAAATTACGGCCGTAATTAGTCGGGGCATGCCCGTAATTAATTGGACGAGCTTTCTCCCCAGCAATTCTTCTCGGTGGTGAAATTACGGGCAAGACCCCCAGGAATTACGGCCGTAATTCCTAATTACTGGCGGTAATTGGGAAATTACGGCCGTAACTTCTCCCCCTGCAGCTTAAGTAAAACGCGCGTTTTGGTGTGAATTACGGGCAGGAAGTGATTACGGCCGTAATTCTGCCCGTAATTCGCCCAGAGTCGGGTTTTTGAAGGCAGATTCGAGCCAAGGAGAGGGAATTCGATTTTCTGGGCAAAAACAGAGTTTTAGAGAGAGAAAGAGCGAAGAACAAACCCTAGGAGCTATTTTGGAGTGAATTTCTCATCATTGAAGCCCAGATTGCGTCCCTAGGAGTGAAGATTGACATCCCAGAGCAGATTTTCCTCATCTTTATGAGTATGACTACTCTGATTTCTGTTTTCTCTTCTCTCTCTATGGAGTAGAACCTTTCTCTCACTTGGGTATGAAGAACCCTAGTTCCTTGTGTTAGGGATTTGATTGTAATGACTTGGGATGATATTATTGTTTGATTTTAATCTAATGACGCATGTTTAATGAATTGATTTGAGTCTGATCAGCTTGTCTCAATTTCTGCTTCAACCTGAGATAGATAGAATCTGATTAGGTTGTTAGAGCTTCTTCATTCGATAGTAGGAGATTGGCTATACGAGAGTTAGCCAGTTTACTGCTTTGTACTGGTGTTCTTGACGCCAGTAGTGGAGTTCTGTGTTCATAGCCTCAGCTTTCTATCCCGGTGAAGACTAGTCGTCTGCCGGGTAGTTAGACTGAGAGGGCTTGGTCAGCTTAAGAGATTCCAAGCTACTGTCGGATCTTCCGCAGTCTAATCAACAGTAAATCAACCCAGGGAATTGCAATTGAACCTAACCAAGGGGCTAGGGGGACTCAATCCCGAGTGACTCTTACCTGCTTTTGAAAACCGAACCATTTACTGTTTTCTTACTGCTTTTGCTTTAAACAACAATCACTCGAATTAGTTTGCTAGATAATAGAGAATCACGGAGTAAGCAGTAGATCTAGACCCCGGGTTGATAATTAAACTTGCCTGTTACTGCATTCCCGGACTGCGATTACACTTGGTCGCAGTTTGGTGTTGTGTTTTGGCGTGTCAGCAACGTAATGGGAAGGAGGGAGTAGGTAGGGAGGTGACGGAAGTGGCAACTGGAGGCAAAGGGGTCCTTGGGCCTATCCCCTCTTCCTCAGCCGCGGTCCCAACGCTAGGATCTAATAAGGCGGCTTTTAAACCCCGGAGCAAGGAGGCGGGCTCAACTTCTACTAGTAGTGGGCCTATAGCAAGCTTAGGCCCTGATAAGCAGCTGTCCAACAAAGGCCTAATTTCCCCAAGCCCGCCTCCAATGCAAGAGTTTGCTGGCCCCAATGCCACGGTCATCCAGGTGGTGAAAGTTCCATCCATTGACAGCCAAAAGGAAGCGGATCGCAAGGCAGAGACCCCGTCGACGGCAGCTCGGACAAGGAAGCAAACTGAGGAGAAAAAGAAGAAATCTAAACCTCGCAAGTCGCCGAAGAAAGTCGCCGCCAGAGCCCTCCAAGTCTGGACACCTGTCAAAGAAAAGAAGACCAAATCTAGAACTAGAATGGCAACTCTGACTCTCCAAGAAATAGCAGCGTGGACGAGTGCAGCGAAGTCGGGTCAATCGGAGGAAGCCTTGGTGAACTTAGCAGAGGAGTCGAGTCCGATTGAGGCCTGTGTTTCGGCCGCCCCAGATTCTGCTTCCTAGTCCCCCGCAGCGCTTTCCCTTCCTTCCCTTTCTCTTTTGCCATTTTATCCTTTAATGTCTGCTGCCGATTTGTGTAATTTTAAAATTCTATCTTGGAATGTTGGAGCAAGCCGGAAATGCTTCTCCGTCTATCTTCCGCCGCTGCAAACGTTTCAACGACAGGATGGATCAAGCAGGGCTTATTGACATTGGTTTCTCTGGTCCGCGTTTCACTTGGACTAGGGGGGAGCCGCCAAATGGGTATAAAGCCAGCCGCCTCGACAGGAGCCTATGCAACACTAGTTGGAACATATTCTGCCCCAACACTACCGTCCATCACCTCCCTAGACTTCATTCAGATCATCACCCAATTCTGACGGTGTTTGGAAATCAGGGAGTTCACCATTCTACTTCTCGTCCTTTTCGCTTCGAAGGGGCTTGGTTATCTCATGACTCATATGATGATTTTCTTGCCAGGGAATGGGACTCTCATGTTTCACTTCAGGAAGCGTTGCAGAAGATGGCCGAGAAATTAACTGAGTGGAACAAGTCCACTTTTGGCAATGTCTTTCAAAAGAAGAGGAGACTTCTTAGCCGAATCCATGGGATTCAAAAGAAAATTGCTAATGTCTTCTCCCCAGGTCTCTTCAAACTCCAATCGAAGCTTGAAAAGGAGCTCGATGATGTGCTTGAACAAGAAGAATTGATCTGGTTCCAGAGGTCAAGGGAGCAGTGGGTGCGATTTGGCGAGCGGAACACTGCTTATTTCCACCAGCAAGCGATCATTCGAAGACGGAAGAACAGGATAGCGAGCCTGAAAGCCGACAACGGAGAGTGGGTGTCTGACCCGCAGGAATTGGCGGCCCTGGTCTTTGACTTTTTTGCTCTTCTGTACCTGCAGGATGATCAAGATTATTCGGATGACATGCCCAAACATGCTTTCCCGAGGATGTCACAAGAAGACGTCCGCCAGCTTCTTCGCCCCTTCATAGGAGCTGATATTTTTAAGGCAATCCAAGACATGAAGCCTCTTCAAGCACCGGGCCCGGATGGTTTTCAAGCCATTTTCTACCAAAGATCGTGGCAGGTGGTTGGGAAAGCTCTTATTGACTTGGCTCTTAGTTTTTTTTCTACAGGGGTTCTCCCAGAGGAAGTGGTGGAGTCGACAGTGGTTCTCATCCCCAAGGTAGACCACCCGGAGATGGTTTCACAGCTTCGCCCGATCTCCCTCAACAATGTGTGCTTGAAAGCCATTACCAAAGCCATCACCAACCGACTTAAGCCCATCATGAGGAAGCTAGTGTCTCCCAGACAAAGCAGCTTCATACCTGGCCGTCAGACCACGGATAACATCATTGTTTTGCAGGAAGTTCTTCACACTTTGAGAAAGAAGAAGGGCAAGAAAGGAGGGATCGTGCTCAAAATTGACTTGGAAAAGGCTTATGACCGTCTCAGATGGGATTTCCTCCGAGACACTCTCAAGGAAAATTGCCTTCCTAGCTCTTGGATTAACTGCATTATGTTTTGTGTTGAGCACAACAGGATGAGATTGCTATGGAATGGAGAGCTCTCAGGCCCGATCATACCTACCAGAGGCGTTCGTCAGGGAGACCCGTTATCTCCTTACCTTTTTGTGTTATGCATGGAAAGATTGTCTCATAGGATTGATTAGGCTATAGAGGATAGGCTTTGGAAGCCTCTGAGATTGTCCAAGGAAGGCCCCTCTAGATCTCATCTTTTTTTTTGCAGACGATCTTATTCTTTTTGCAGAAGCTGAAGGTTCTCAAGTTAGGATCATCATGCAATGCCTCGATGAGTTTTGCCAAAGCTCGGGGGTTCTCAAGTTACGATCTTATTCTTTTTGCAGAAGCTGAAGGTTCTCAAGTTAACTACAACAAATCGGCTATCTTTGTCTCAGCTAACATTGATCGGAGGAGAGCTCGCCGTCTTTCTTCTCGGGCTGAGATCCCGCTCACGGTGGACTAAGGCGAGGTATCGTGACCTAGTGCTGAGAATTGAGAAGAAGCTCGCCCCTTGGAAAGCCAGACACCTCTCCCTTGCGGCTCGGATTACAGTGGTGAAATCTATCTCTGCCTCTATCCCCATTTACCCTATGCAAACAGAACTGCTCCCTGTGAATGTTTGCAGGACTCTTGACCGGATTAATAGAGGCTTCATCTGGGGGGATACAGAAGCCAAGAAGAAGATACACATGGTTGGATGGCAACAGCTGCTAGTACCGAAATGCAATGGAGGTCTAGGCATTCGCTCAACGAGGGAAGTTAACCTTTCCATGCTAGCCAAAGGCGGTTGGCGAGTCATACAGGAGAAAGATAGCCTCTGGGTTCAAATTGTTCGGGCAAAATATGGAGGAGACCGGCAAAATCTTGAGATCCTCAAACAGATTCAGGGAAGTTCCTTTACCTGGGCCAGTTTTACTAAGGCTTCTGCTTTATTAAAACAGGGTTGTGTGTGGAACATCCATAGAGGAAACCAGACTAAATTTTGGTCCGACCCGTGGATTGTGCAGGATCCCCTTCAGGAATTGGCTACATCACAAATCCCGGAAGAAGACCGGCAGCTTCCGGTGTCGGAGTTCGTGGATGAAGATGGGAACTGGAAGGTCGAGATGTTTAGCCATCTCCTCCCACAGGAGATCCAACAGAAGATAACAGCTCACGCGGTCGATCCTTTGGCAACAGAGGAGGATAGATTATTCTGGAGTCCAACGTCAGACGGCCATTTTACCACTAAGAGTCCCTACCAGTTATTGCAGCCCGCATCCTCTGATGCCCAGCAGCAGTGGTGGAAGACTGTTTGGCAACTCCCGGTGCCTGAGCGGATACGTTGCTTCATCTGGCTGATTGCTCAGGGAAAGGTGTGTTCGAATGAAATCAGAGTTCAAAGGCATATGACCCAGGATGGTTCTTGCTATAGATGTGCGAACCAGGTAGAGAATATTGATCACATCTTTTGCTTTTGCCCCCCTGCGGCCTACCTGTGGCATAGATGTGTACCCATGGAAGCCCAGCATGAGTTTTTTAGCTCCCCTTGGGAAGGCTGGTTGCGCAGGAACCTAACAAGCAAGATCAAGACTGCTGCCGGGGTGCCTTGGGACGCCTTCTTCAGTGTTGCCCTTTGGTGCTTATGGAAGAATAGAAATGAGGGAGCTTTTAAGGGTACCCCCAAGACGTTGTCGGCCCCGTCACTCATGCAAAGTATCAAGATCAAAGCGGATTTGTGGTTCAGGGCGTGGAATGCTCCTTCTCCCATCAGCGGCAGAGTGAACCAGCCCCCGAACCGTGCCATGATGGATATTGGGTGGAAGTCCCCACCTGTAGGGTGGACGAAGATCAATGTCGATGGGGCAGCTAGTGGCTCGCAAGGGATGGCCGGGGCGGGAGGAGTTGTTCGCTCTTCTCAGGGCAGTTGGGCAGGCGGTTTCGTCTCAAGCCTTGGTGTTTCTTCCCATTTTACGAACTAGAAGATCCCCCGCAAGAGTTGCTTCCCATTTTACAGGACGACCAAAGAGGGGTCACGTTTCCTAGGAATATTGTGATCGACACCCCTGTTATCCCCATATGATTCTTCGCTGCTTCCCTTTGTCTTCCGCTTTCTTTGGCCCTGTGCCTACTGATGCAAAAAAAAAAAAAAAAAAAAACTTGTACATTTTTTATAAGACGACGTTGAATGCGTGCTTATTATCTAGTCTCAATTTATTATTCTAGTCTATCCTAGTATGTGCCATCAAATATGTATAACCAAAGCAATCATCAATTGACACAAATAAACTAATACAATTTGAGATTTGCCTCCAACTATCTAATTAATGTATGTCAAGACCTAATAAAAATCAATAATTAGAGTTGTTGATGAAAGATGTTCTATAATGAATTTCATAGAATTCTTTTTATAGGCCCCCATCAATTGGGATGGGCCACTAGGAGTGGGTCGCACTCGGCTGGTGGGATGGTTCTTTTTTATCTGGTGCGGAGGCTCCTTTTGGTCAAAGGGGTTCAGTTTCCTCAAATTGACGAGCCGATGGTGGTGGAATTGCTTGTGTTTCGGGAGGCTATTATTTGGTGTTTAGAGTGTGGCTTGTCGGCAATCCGGTTCAAGGGTGATGCGAAGGTAATTATCGAAAAAATTAATCAAGCTGACACAAGCGACAACCGGTTGGGGGCAGTTCTGGAAGATATATGTCAGTTTTTCGTGCCCATCCTGGGTTTAGTGTGTGGTTTATAGGTCGGGAGAATAATAGGGTAGCTCACTCGGTAGCTAGAAAAACCCTCTCTTTAATTTACGGATCTGGCTGATTTCCAGGATGTAATTACCTATTTGTTTGGATCAATATATGTTATCTTTTGGGGGGAAAAAATCTCCATCAATCATTTTACACTATTAATTCCTAACATATATTGTCTTTAGCATAGTCTACATAACTCCTCCAACCTCCTCAAAACCCTCTCGTTAACTTATTACATGTAAATGAATAATCTTGTCCCTCCCAAATAAAACAAATTATCTCTCTGTTTTATATTATTTTGCATCCTTTTTCTTTGGCAAAGACATATATCATTACTACCACCCATCTCCTCCTGAACTCTATGGAAGGCGAAAGGAGCAAACTTAGCAAGCAAGCTGCGTGCCATTCGATTCCTCCTATCTCAAACAAAAACAAAAAACACAATTTCCAAACAATATTTTATAGACAAAATATCCTCCTCATCATCCCATTTGGGTTAATTTATTCTTCTCTCCACACACGTTATTCGTAATAATTCCCCTCCTCCTAAATAGACCCACGTCCACATCTCATCTCTTTCCCCCAAATAACTACAAAACCTAGCATTTTCTTGCAAATTTCCAATCCAGTTGATTTAATGCACATGTCACTGTTGCCACATCCCCCTAAAATTAGATTAGTAATAGAAAATTTTGTGATCACACCAAAGGGTTAATTAAATCCATAAAAATGAGTAGAATAATTGAATATCTGTAAGAATTCAAAAATTAAACATGCTAGTGGTAATTAATGAATAGGCGAATGACCTTAGAAAGTCACCACAAATCACCCGAAAAGCAAATTAGTGTATCAAAACGGACAATAAATTCAAAAGGAATTGAAATGCTACCGACTATACTTCTCTTTTACAAGGAATGAACCAGACATATAAATCAAAAGTTACCAAAAAGGATCAAATGGAAGCGGGGAAAAACCCCTAAACGTCATTGTCTCTCAATTTTGTTGGGTATAAAGAATTGTGATTTGTCACCTTTCCACAGTACTCATCATCTCCTGGAGACTAATCCATCAATCACAGCCCCCACTAATCCTAATATCTCGTCATTCATCTGCTACATATTAATTAGTATATAATTAATCCCATCTATCTACGCCTCCTTTCATTCTCTCCCTCAAAGCCATCGTCTTCCCATTAGATTAAAAAAAAAACAAAAACATAAAAACATTTCCGACCAGCTGTGCCTACCGAAAGCGGAGAAAGTAATACAAGGGGAAGGAGGGCGAAGCCAAAACCCTACAGCTGGTGGAAGTTCAAACAAACAAACAGTAGATAGATAGAGATAATAATGGCGATGAGGAATAAGAGACCCAGTCAACCCCAATCCAGCTCCTCCTCATCGATATCCCCATCCAAGCCCAAGAACAACAACAACAAGTCTAACCTCATCAACAAAAAGAAGACCAAGAAGAAGAAGGAAGAGAACCTCCTCCGCCTTCAACAACAGCAGCAACTAAACCGTGACGGCGATCATCGTCCGATCCTGCGGCCGAAGGTGTACATCACGGATATCTCCAACTTCAAGACGCTTGTCCAGGAGCTCACCGGCAACGGAGCTCCGGTCGCCGCCCAGCGGGAGCCCTCTCCGTCATCGGAACGTGAAACTTATTATTATCCCGAGTTCAAACGTTCGGACAGCCTGGAGACGGTTACGTCAGTGGATGGGTCGTCGGTTGAATCCAGCGGGACGCCGTCGTTTAACCACGAAGAGACGAACGGCTTCCAGCCCTACGGTTACTACGATCAGATGGGGTTGTACAGTTTGGAGGAGGACAACACGACGTCGGATGGTATGCTGGCGTGTCAGGCTGATCTGGAGGCTTTGCTGGCAGATATGGATCAACATCAGTTCCCTCTCGTGTTTGACGCCAATTATTCTTCATCGGAATCTCATCATCAAATTCATCATCAGCAGCAGGAAGCTGATCTCAGCATTTACGACTACGATTTTTCCGGGATCGTATGCTGAGCGCGCAGGATTACTAGCTACTGCATGATGTGAAGTCAAAGATTGAATATATAAAGCTGCTCGATCGATCGTCCGCACAGTCTCGATTGATCGTAGCGTACGGTACGGTATAGGCTGGATGTAAATACATGCATCTACACTTTTTTGTCTTGCGTTTTGGTCACTCTACGTACTTTCTGTTCATATGGGTGGAACGGTGTGAAGAATGTATATACGGCAGTTTCCGGTGCACAATTTTGGTGTGTGTATATCGTTTTTTGGGTCTGTGGTCGGAAGCCAAACCGCGTGTGTGTATATATATATGTGTGTGTTCAATATGTTTGCAGCGCGATACTTCCAGGCATATTCTAGCTAGATCGCTAGTATGGACTTTGTAAGGAAGGCTGCTGCAACGATATTGAATGAAGCAATATGTATATGGGTTTTGTTAATGATGATGCGCGTGCATGTTCCGATATTAGAATGTGATTTCAGCTTATATGATCGAGTGGATAGCTAGTGGGAGTGTGTGCTGTCTGCCTGATGCAATAATATGTTTTCTTGACACATTCAGCTGATTAACCCTAGTGATTTAGTTATTTTGTTTTCGATGAATATGATTTAGTGATTTTGATGGGGAAGAATGTTAAGAATCAATTGATTCCAATAATTCGAATTTTATTACGATCACTTGATTCCTAATATGGTATAAGAGATCTATCTGATGGTAAGCTCTTTTATCAACAAAACAACGTGGACAAATAAGCCAATAATAATAATAATAATAATTATTATTATTATTAAATTGCAAGTATCCAAAAATTCGGAACACTGTTCATTAAGTTGAGAGAGTGAGAGAGCGAGAGAGAAAAGATTGGGTTTTGGTGAGGAAAAGAGGATAGACATTACTAACTGCTAAAGATGGAGAGGATTGGCGATGAGGAGAGAAAGAGATGTAGACAATACGTGAGGTGGGAGACGAGGGATGATGATTTATATTCTCTATGTTTAGGGAAATCCGTATGGATTGAATGGTGATTGGTGTGGGCTTGTGTGAGATTGAGAATGGGCTTGGATAAATGTGAATTTAGCTGGGTTTAGGTGGGTATTATAACAATTCGGTTTGAAATATTAAAATACGGTTCACTTTGTTTCGAACCGAACAACAACTAGAGCATATATACCATTCGACTTCCAAACCAAAATACAACTAGTTTGATTTTGGGGTGGTTCAATCTGAGTTTTCAAAACCACATGCTCGTGAGCAGGACTGTGCAATGTGAGCTATAAAATTGTTGCTAAGTGTTTGACACATCGTCTGAAATTACTCATGCTAAGGTTGGTGGATGAAAACCAAACTAGCTTCGTGCCGACATGTCACGGATAACATACTCATTCTCTATAAAATTTTGCATGTCCATTAAGAAGGGAGAGCGAGGTACGTACTGCTGTTATGAGCATAGATTTAGAAAAAGGCTTATGACATAAATCAATTGGAATTTTCTCCATGCTACCCTATCTTCTATAGTCTACAGAGAAACTTTACAGAACTAGTAACGGCGGGTGCATAGAAGAATTCCAACCTTCTCAAGGTGTAAGACAAAGATGTCCCATTTTCAAAACCCTATTTACTTTATGCATTGAAAGGCTTAACCATTGTATTAAAGAATCGGTAGAAAATGATTTGTGGAACCCTATCAGACTGCCTAAGAATGAAACTTGTCTCACTCATCTATATATATATATTTTTTTTTATGATCTCATTATTTTTGCAAATGCTGAAGCAAGACAGGGGGATGCCTTCATTGACTGCCTTAACAAGTTTTGTGTTGCGTCAGGAGAGAAATCAACAAAATATTAGCCAAAAATACCAATGATAGAACGAGAATGTGAATCAGCAAAATGTTTGTCGTGAAGGATACCAGAAGCCTAGGCAATAGGGGTGGGCAACGGGAAACGGGTATTTGGGTATACCCGTACCCGTCCCGTTTTTAAGGGTTATGGGTACCCGTATTACCCGTAATATTTTAAATGGATGGGACTTGGAATTGTACAGTCCCAATATGGGTACCCGCGGGTTACCCGTTAATACCCGTTTGGGTAATATGGGTACCCGTTGTACCCATTCAAAGACAAAGACAGATTTAAATAATATTCAGCCCAGGGCCCCAGGCCCAGCCCAATTCAAGAATAATTTTCGGCCCTTACCCAATACCCACTGCACTGAGACCGTGAGACGGACAGACGGTGAGACTTGAGACTGAGAGTCGACGCACGCAGGCCGCAGCCCTAGCACTAGCAGCTTCTGCCTTCTGGACGCGCAGGCGCAGCAGCTTCTCTTCTCTGGAGGCTGGAGCTTCTCGGGAGTGAGACCGTGAGAGTCGAGAGAGAAGAGACTCTCAACCTGTCGCCGGCGCCTCCTTGCTCCTTCATTTAAACTTTGGGTATTTTATGGGTAGTATGGGTACCCGTTATCCGTCCCGCACGGGTAATGGGTACCCGTTTCCCATATGAGTTTGGGATATGGGATGGACTTTGGTCTCCAAATGGGACTGGGTACCCGTTTAAAACGGGACGGGTATCCCGTCCCGTCCCGTTGCCCACCCCTACTAGGCAAATATCTTGGGGTCCAGTTATTTATACTCGCGTTACAATGGAAAGTTCGAAGTGCGGGGCGGGTGTCTTTAATTAGTTGTCTAATTATGTGATGCAAACAACAATATTTCCGTTCCATATTTGTTAGGCAATTGACAAAGAATAAGAGCTTTCTTCCGGCATGTAGAAGAAGGAAACATAATTTTGACTTGGTCTCATGCAAACAAAACAAAAAACACTATTGACGGGGCAAGGGAGGGTGGAGGACCTAATGAAACTTGGTTTTTTCCTAGTAATCAAAATGCTTTGTTGATACAGGTTTTGCAGGGGGTTATGTCAAAACAAATGAGAATGGGCCGTTAACAATATAGCATTACATAACTTCGAGACAATGTAGAGGGGTTACAGATGCCCTTCCAATTATGAAACAGAGCATCATCTGGGATATAGGGGCAAACATTATGTCAGATTTTGGAGGAAACCCTGGTTAGCAGATGGCTCCTTTCTTATAGACCAAGTGTTAGACACGAGAGCTTTAGTAGCAGAAATGACAAAATTAAAAAATTAGAAAATGATGGAATGAAAATAATAATTGGCTCCTATAAAAAAAATTAGCTTATAACCGGCTCGTTGGCCGGAATTTTTATATTTTAATATTTATATTTATATGATATGTTTAAGTCTATTAATTCGTTTAAGTTTATTGAAAATCATTCAATGGAGATGTTACATAAAGAATGAATATATAGGTCGAACATTCAGGAAAAATACCCTCCACATTTAAAATAATTGAGCCCCCATTAAAATGATATTGGTTAATAGATTGGCCATAAATATATAATATAAAAGCTCATTGGAATTCCCATACAATCCAAAGATAGTTTGAAATTGAAATGAAACCTCACAATACCACATAAATGCTTCAAAGTTCTCCTCTATGAATAACATGCTACTAATAAAAAAGAAATTGATTTATAAAATAAAACAGAAATGAAGAGTTGTTGATTCAAGTAAATCATATGCTAACAACTCAACTAAATTTATGGTTATCGTCTATTTATAAGATGGATAAAATTTTAAATTAAGTATTAAACTATAATTAAAATAAAAAATATCAAAATTGAAGTATCAAAACACCAAATAAGTACTTACGGAATATTTATTGGGCTAGCTAACTGTCGAAAAGTTATGTGATTTCAAATTTTAACTCCGTATATATTTTTAATTTAAAAAATACAACAAATCTATATAGTCTGATTGATTTTAAACTTTCACTTTGTTTGAAGTGATCATGATTCAAATCTCAATATATCTTTTTTCTGTAAATATATACAAAATACAAATAATTGTAAAAAAAAAATGTCTTTCCTAATTTCCCTCTCATTGCAGGAAATTTGAAAAAGGAGATTAAGTTTTAAATAATTAAATCATATACCCTAAATCTATAGAAATTAAACCCTAATATCACATATACTAAGAACATAATCAGTGATTCTGATTCACCAAGATGTATACAACATATCATATGCACTATATTAGGATTTAGAGAATTATAATATAGGGTTTAGTTACGTGATTAATCTATGGTCTAGATAATGTTATATATTTAACTAAGGAGATGCAATAACCCTCAATCCATCGAGCGAACCATAGAATTTCCAATGTATATACAGATACCATTGTTTGTTAAATTTAGCCAATGATAATTGGGTCATTTGTCAATGGTATTTAGTCTTTCAATTATATGCTTATAATCATCAACCATTAGGGAAATTGTTAGCCAATGATTTTTGGTCATTCACTTATAGCATTGAAAATGTCTCGTTACAAAACCATAGATCACAAATGTCAAATTTTATGTTTTGAAATAAAATTTTGTATAGCACTTTTGTAAACAATCCTTGTATTCCTACAAACTACAAAGTCATGTAACCTAATAAATGAAAAGTTGTAAGACATACATAAACTCAAAATGTACTATTTGATTCTTGGTGAAGAATTGTGTGATTAGAGGAACTCACTTAGTTGATTCATAAAGCTAGGTATATCATGATGATTCACTTTGTAAATAATTACAGTTATTAATTAATTCGATGATTGATTGTTGCGGTGGATTCCTATGATTTTGAGATATTTTAGTATTTTCTCTCTTTAATTCAAATAATACATAAACATTGTTGTAATCCAGTTGGTTAGGGACATTGATTATCAATCTGAAGGACTCGAGTTCAAGTCTTTGTAATGATATTTTTTTTCTTGTGAGAAGATATTTAAGTTCTAAGTTGAACTTACAAATTTACCCCTAACTACAATTAAGGAGAGTGTAAGGAATTTGAAATGCTCAAAATTTTCTGAAGTACTGCTATATATTATAGAGCTATAATAGTTAGTCAGCTGCCAAATAAATCACCATAGGGTAAGAATAC